GTTACAGTAATTCTTCTAAGATGAATATAGCAGACCATGCTGAGCCAGCCCAAATTCTATTTTGCTCACAGGCAGAATAAATGTTTGCACTATTTTTAAATTTGCTTTCCTTCTCAGTGTTTTCTATATAATTTATGCTGTTCTCCTAGACAACTGTGCCTTACTGCTAATTTACTTACCCCTTTTCATGTTTATCATCTGCCTTTACAAAAGAGAACACCATATACAGGCTTGTTGTTTATTATACCTGTACAACGGTATTATTTTATTTGTGCCAAGCAGCTCTACTATTTTCCCTTCTAATTTTATCAAAAATTCTGCTTCTAAAAACCCTTCTCTGTGCTCCTTCCTCCAAGCCTCTTCTATAATTTCAGAGTATCAACAAATATTCAAAGCCACAGGATGAATATGTTTTATCTTCCTGGAGCATCAGTTTTACTCAGAGATGAGAGGGAGAAGATGCTATTATTAGAGAGAGCAAGTAATCATATTATGCAGTCAAATTGAAAATTCTCATAATTCAAAAAATAAAATGGGAGCTTCAGATAATTTACAGTTCATTAGGCTTAAAGCAGGCCCTTCTACTCTAGCCATTAGAATTCTGGAGACACAAATTCCTTTTTTTTACATAGTTGGCCCTCCATATGCCTGGGTTATGCATCTGTAGATTCAAACAATCATGGATCAAAAATATTTGGGGGAAAAAGCGTCTGTACTGAACATGTACAGACTTTTCTTCTTGTAATTATTCCCTAAACAACACAGAATAACAACTACTTACAGAGCATTTACATTGTACTACGTATTGTAAGTAATCTAGAGATGATTTAAAGCAGGGGTCCCCAACCCCTGGGCCATGGACCAGTGGCAAGTCTGTGGCCTGTTAGGAACCCAGCCACATAGCAGGAGGTGAGCAAAGGACAAGCAAGCATTACTGCCTCAGCTTTACCTCCTGTCAAATCAACATTGGCATTAGATTCTCAAAGGAGCACAAACATGCGAGGGATGTAGGTTGTGTGCTCCTTACAAGAATCTAATGTCTGATAATCTGAGGTGGAGCAGTTTTATCCCCAAACCATCCGTCCCACCCCTGACCTGGAAAAATTGTCTTCCATGGAACTGGTCCCTGGTGCTAAAAACGGTTGGGGACTACTGATTTAAAGCATATAAAAGGGCCGGGCACAGTGGTTCACATCTGTAATCACAACACTTTGGGAGGCTGATGCAGGCAGATTATTTGAGGTCAGGAGTTTGAGACTAGCCTGACAAACATGGTGAAACCCCACCTCTACTGAAAATAAAAAAAACTTAGCCAGGCGTGGTGGCCAGTGTCTGTATTCACAGCTACTCAGGAGGCTGAGGCGGGAGAATAGCTTGAACCTGGGAGGCAGAGGTTGCAGTGAGCCAAGACTGTGCCACCACACTCCACTGTGGGCAACAGAGTGAGACTCCATCTCAAAATAAATAAATAAATAAAAGGGAAGGATATGCGTAGATTACATGCAAATACTATGACAGTTTATATCAGAGACTTGAACATCTGAGGACTTTGGTATTTGCAGGAGGTTCTGAGACCAATCCCAATGGATACTGAGCGACAACTGTATACCTTTAAGGATTCTCTGGTGGAAAAGTTTGAAAAACAGGGTTCTAAGACATTTACCCCTTTAATTGCCCCTCAATTAGCCATTAATTCCTCCACAACCTATGGAATGAGCCCTCACCCTCAGAGTGTGGACTCAGAAAGATGCCTTTCACACAGCCATCTTTTGCTCAGGAGCTGTATGTCCTATACACAACAATTTACAAGTGATGGTATTCTTTTAAACATTGTCATTTGAAGCATGCATAACCTGAAACACAAAAGTTTAAAAAGAAGAAAATGGTTATGGAACATAACTTAAAGACCAATCGACTGCTTTAGCCCTAAGTCCTTGGTACAGAATTAGCCCTAGGGATAGCCCAATTAGAGTCTACAATCACTACCAGAGACCTGCTTTTCTCAAGATCCATTCCAAATGTCAGAGCCTTAATTTGTAATGAAGTTCAATAGAATAAAGATATGCTATGGAAAATATTAGACTATTTTAGACTCTTGTCATTTATAGGGTGAAAAAATATTCAGTGTCTTAAGTCAACTTAGTAAATACACAAGAATACATTTCCCTTTAGGTCATTCCTATTTATTTTAATGAAAATAGTTTCAATTGTAAAAATTAACCTAAAATATTGAGAGGTGGACCCATGAGTTTTGGAAGAAAATGGCTAACTGGTGAAACCAATTTTACCCTGATGTAATATTTACTTGCTTGATTTATTATTCAAATATTTTATTATGTTCCTAACCTTCAAGACATTCCTTAAATGCAATAAAGCCCCAGACTTGCTTTTTCAATAGCTACAACACTGGCATCCATTGCTAGGTAGTAGGATCATTGGAATGGAACATGTATATTTAACGAAGGATACAGCAATGTTTAAACATCACATCAAAGGCTCACTTTCAAATGCAAACAATTTTCTCTTCCCACTCTAGTGATAATTGAACTATTTCATTTTGGGCTCTCCACTATGTCTGATTTGGTTAAAACCAATGCAAGGGACCCAAATCACCCCATTTGAAAGCAGCAGGAAGTCACTGATCATGTAAAATCCTGCCTTACCAATAGCACACACTCAGGAAAGGTATACTGAATTGATTTGCCAATTTGACAAAATATATTTGTGAGAGGGGCAGAATTAGGATATTTCTTTGCAAGTAAGCAGCCTCATCTAACTATAATGGACCTCCTTCGCTCAATAGCAACAAGAATACAAAACTTGAATCAACAAACCAACCAATTCTGTTGCTAGGTTCCAAAGTCAATGTGAAAAAAAATTTTGGAGCAATATCTAAGCTAAATCTGGAAAAATAACCAATTTTTATTTAGCACAGTGTATTGTATAGAGAGGCAATCGATGAATGCTTTATGACTGTGACAGTGACAATACTTTGTCAGTGTTTCTCAAAATATGCTCCTTTGATCACATATATGCAGTGCTACCCCATTCAATTAATTCATGGAATATTTGTTACATGTTCTAGGCACTGGGGATACAGTAGAAAGCAAACAAGACAAAAATTCTTACTTTCCTGGAACTTAGTTTCTAGTTGGAGTGGGCAAAACATAGACAACAGGTAAGTGAAGTATATAATATGTTAGTGGTAAATGCCTAAGAGAAATTCAATGCAGGAAGAGGAAATTAAACATTGAAAGGGAATTAAAAATGCAGATAGGGTAACCAGGGAAGAGCTCCTGGGAAGGTAACTTTTGAGTAAAGATGGAAAGTGAAAATGTAAGTCCTGCAGATATCCGACGGAAAAGCATCCTAGACAATAGTGAAAGCATGTGCAAAAGCCCTGAGTCAGGAATTTCAAAAAACAGCAAAGGGGCCAATGAGGCTGCACATGTGAAGGTACAAAATATAAGGGCAGACCACAAAAGTTAGGTCACGGTGAAGACTGTTTTCTCTATTGAAAGAGATGGGAAGCGATTACTGTTTTGAGCAGAGGACTGACAGGACCTGATTTGTGTTTTAACAGGTCTGCTCTGGCTGCTCTGGGGAGCAGACAGCAGGGGAACAAAGGCAGAAGCAGAAAGAGGAGCTACTTATTTTAAAATGCAGAGCCGGTAATTTGTGTTTTTAACAAGCTCTCTACGTGATTCTTAGGCACAGTCAGATTTAAGAACTACAACTAAATTACCTAAGCAATTGAGACAAAAATTGATTTTACAATCTGATTATTTGACAATCACTAATCGACTTCCAGTGGAGAAACGGGCCTAAATCATTTGTACTAAATTCAGCTGACAACCTGTCAATTCGGCCATGCAGACTCCAAACAGTACTTCAGGAAGAGGACTTTCAAGGAATCTTGGCCCCTTGTTCTGCGACACAGGACACCATCTGAGAGGTCTCCTCTACAGAGAAGGAAACTAGAGCTAATGCAATCACACAGTGGTGATGTATTTGATAAGATCACAGAACAGATGCCCCATAATATGAGAAGTTTTAGGATGCAGCTAAAATAGAGCATATGGGTGGGGACTTTTCTCAATTCTTTTAACTTAAAGATTTTCATTTTATTTTTACAGGGAAGCAAGTGAGCACTTGGGTGTCATTCTAAATACATACATAAATCCTAAATTTATATTCTAAGTTTATATATTGTCTATATAAATTCTCTATAAATTCCATATATATTCTATAATATATATTCTAGACTTGTTTATATGTGTATCTCACAATAAAATTTATAATTAGTACGTTTTAATACATTATAGAAATCTATATTCACAACAGTTTTAATTTGTTGTGATTGAGTTTCACAATAGTAACAACTAGCATTTATATAGCACTGATTAAGATAATAATAGGACCTAGTTCCACAAACCATAAACTTTTATTTCTACTTTATAGCCACACTACACACATACACATCCTAATATTTTAACTAGTTTGCAATTTAGTCAATCAGTCTTCTACCTATTTCTTCTATTTCTTATATGGCTCTGAATTATTTCCTATGCCTCCCCTGAACTCTGTACATAGTAGGTACACAAATAAATTCTTAACTGATCACTGACTAGCCAATCTAGAGTGAGCAATATTGAGTTCAGAGAATAAGTTAACAAATACTGGGTTCCCCTATTTATTTGACTTCTTTGGCTCCATTTAAAAACAACATTTTAGAAATTTCAAGGGGATAAATCTTAATAACTGAAAGGAACATAAATATATTTAAAGTGGATTTACTGAAGCAGTGATTTAATTTTCATGAGAATAATTACATTCTGCTGCTATTTTTCCCTAAGCACAATTTCCCTAAGGTATTTCATCATTAAGGCCTGATTCAATTTTTAAAAAGCATTCATTGTTAACAGTGTGATTACCCAGGTACAGATTATTCTTTTGGATAGAGTTCAGGTAATGGGTAACAAATAATAGATACTGATTACCTTCTTGAGTGGAAGAAGCCTCTAAGTGTTGAAGCTTAAGGCCGGTGTCTAATCTTTGAGGCTTTGTATACAGAAATAAATAGCAGAGAACACAGATACTGATGACAAAGGCAAGTAAAACAAGGGCAGCAATTCCTAATCCAATCAAGGCACCAATGCTGAGGAAAACAGAAAAAAAACATGTGTCATACAAAGTGATTTACACTGGTTAAACTAAAGAGAAGGTGAAAATATATTGTTAGTTCTTGTTCTCAGTCATTCATAACCAAATTGTATTTTAGCATAAACAGTAACTGATTGAAATCTACAGCTTACCTTTTTCCACCACCAAATTCTTGTATTTCTCTACAAGATTTTCAAGGCCCTTTTAAATTTATACATTACTTTTTTTTTTTTTTTTTTTGAGATTGTGTATCACTCTGCAGCTCAGGGTGGAGTACAATGGTGCAATCTTGGTTCGATGCAACCTCTGCCTCTTGGACTCAAGTGATTCTTGTTCCTCAGCCTCCTGAGTAGCCAGGACTACAGGTGCACGCATCATGCCCAGCTAATTTTTTGTATTTTAGTAGATGACAGGGTTTCACCATGTTGCCCAGGGTGGTCTCGAACTCCTGAGCTCAGGCAATCTGCCAGCTTCGGCCTCCCAAAGTGCTGCGATTACAGGTGTGAGCCACCGTACCTGGCCTATACATTACTTTTTTTTTTTTTTTTTTTTTTTTTGAGGCAGAGTTTTCTCTCATTGCTCATGCTGGAGTGCAATGACCTGATCTGCTCACTGCAACCTCCGCCTTCTGGGTTCAAGTGATTCTCCTGCCTCAGCCTCCTGAGTAGCTAGGATTATAGGCATGCACCACCATACCCAACTAATTTTGCATTTTTAGAAGAGATGGGGTTTCTCCATGATGGCCAGGCTGGTCTCCAACTCTTGACCTCAAGTGATCTGCCTGCCTCAGCCTCCCAAACTGCTCGGATTACAGGCGTGAGCCACTGTGCCTGGCCAGCCTATAAATTACTATTAATAGGGAAGATCATATGTTCATATTATAGGTTAAAGGTCACATGATTCTCTAGAGATAATTCAAAAACGTCTCCATCAAATAATCCTCTATTATTGATATATTTGAGAAGGAATGATCAGGTTCACCAACACATGATGAATAGAAAAATATTTGTTTCTGCAAAAGCACTAAAGACATATGTGAAATGCCATTTGTTGATATACAAAGCCAAAACTATTACTTAAAAAAAGGAGAAAACAATTTGAATTAAAGGAAGATGGTATTTGTGAAATTCATATAAAGTTCATATTCAGTTTGAGTTTTTCCTTTCTAAAAAGGCATAGTGTCAGTCGCTTCTAGCATTAAGGAAGAAGCCCTTGTATTTTTCTCTAAAAATAAAATGTGTATCTGATTGTATTTGCTCCACCTCAAATTTGTAATGATTCCATCTGATTCAGTTACCTATAAGTCTAATCATTTGAGAAATACAGTTTTCATAAACGTGTGAACTTAATACTACTAAATGGGAAAAGAGCTTGGGGAGAAAAACAATCTTGAAAGACTAATATGCTAACATGCACTTCTTGAGCCATAGTTTGTTCTAATTAAAATCTACCAATAGATTGTAATCTATAAATAGATTTTAATCAATTTTACTCAAGAACAGATACTTCTGTTGACTTCACAGTAGCGTTGCAAACACTTATTTAAAGTGTTTAAGAGCTTAGCATGTAGACAATGTTCAATAAATGGAAATAAATAATAATTGACTGCTGATTCGATCTACCTGTATTTGGAACATACATCATTGAAAAGTCATGACCTTTTTCTTCATTATCTTCCTGGCTTGCCTTTAGGCTTCTGCTCTTTCCCTGAGATTAGGACCCTGAAAAGTTTGACCTGTACCAAAAGGGAGGGAAGGGAGAACTTGACCGGGGATGCCAGGAGCATCGTTGCTTTGGCAGGAAGGAGAACAGACCTGAAAGTAAAGAGGTAAGCTCACTCCACTTGCTCTTGATTTCAGGAGATAGAGCACCCCTGCAAAGAACAGATTGCCTCCTGAACCACTCACATCAAGTCAGACTTCCAGAGATTCTTATGCTTGGTTTAATGTTAACCCAGTTCCATTAGCCCTACAGATGAGTGAAGGCTGGGGAATCTTATGGCTAGAGTCACTGTAGAGTTGTATATTTCAACTTGTGGTTTGCTCTCACTGGATGTGCTCTCATCTAACAGGTAGATTCCCTATGTTTGGCTACTACTCTTTTATACTTGTTTGCAGCAAACCTAACTTCTGTGCATTTTAAGTGTCAGGGAAGGTTAGGATCACTTCACTATACACAGACACATGGGAACGTAATCCACTCAGTTAATATTATCTGGTGCACAGAGCAGATAGGAGACTAGACATCTGGAAAGATTCCTCAAACAAGAACCCGATTATTTAAAAAAATCTTCAAGGTAAAAAAGTAATTTAGTCTATTCAAAAGCAAAATTATCAGTTTAATTACCTTCCACATACATTGTGTGGGCTTTCAGTGTACAGATTAAAAATCCAGACCATGCAATTTGAAAGAAAAACAAAAACAAAGCATGCCATCCCTGCTTTCTGTTAAAAAAGAATGTTTTTCATAATACTGACAAACAGTTTCAATGTCACGGTTCACTTTATAGAAATGTTGCTTTATGCATACACTCTAGGTATAAACTCTCGGTGAAGATGGAGCTCCTAAAATATTCATTTCAATAAATACTTATTAAATAGCCACTCATGTATGGCCCTGTCCAACAGGCCTTATTTTCCTAAGTCCTGGAGAAGGTTACCAAGGAAAATCCTAAGAACACAGGGAGTCATAGGAGGAGAAAAGATGGGAGGGGGCCAGGCACAGGGAAGGAAGAATTATTCTTTCCTCAGCACCATATGGCAGTTGCTTTACAAGCTTTGAGAGGGGGTCTGAAGCTGCTGTCACATTAATGCAGCAATTCTCCAACTTAGGAAGTTCACTTATCTTGTGATAGCCACAGCTGTGCCTTTCTCCAGCCACTATAGAATCTCAAAACAAGGGCTAGTGACTGTTCACAGTTGAACTATTTTAGATTAGGAGCGGAGAGCAAAGAATAGGAGGGAAAGGAAGCTCTAATAAATTTATGCCCTATTGTGTTCTCAGAGCTCAATAACTCACAGGAACCCCAGGTTTAACACTGTCAACTGTCAACATCAGTTGAAGTGATTTTTCTATTTCCCAGGAATGGAGCTGCACTGTTCATTTTGTCAGTGCTGAATGAAGAAACAGCAAGCTGTTCACTCCTTTATGGCCTGGTAAGTCTTAGGAAGGTTTTATGTCCTCTGTTGCTTGTCATTTTGGAACTATTCAGGGATATGAGAATCTCAGGCACATTTTCCAATTGAGTTTGACCTAGGAATTACCAGCCCCTGTTGGAGGTGCTTCTGCCATTATTATCGCCTCCAATGACCCAGAGATAGATTACTATGTTATTTTCCAAAAGTCAGGATAATAAACCAGTGCAGTACAGATTTCCTCCCCATGTGATCTACTAAGGATAAGCTATCACTATTTTCTGACATTTTGCCCCCCTCCAGCAAAATACAACTTTGTGAGTTGAACTTACTGGAAGATAGGCACTCTTTCTGAGACTTTTTGATGCTTGCAATATAGAAAAATATGTTAATACTTTATTGCTTCAAGAACTAACAGTCATTTGCTATAGACTTGGCACGTGTGTTAAATTCTGAGTCATGTAGGAGATGGGAGACATAATCACAATACTTTATCTCTTACTAACAGAATCAATCTCTTCCAACCTCATAAACTAATGAATAGGTACAAAACAGTTTAAGGTGGGAGCTCTTTTCTTGATCGTCCGACCCTAGTCATTCTCCAAGCAAAATGAAAAATCAGGTTTAAAGTTTGCTGTCCTTCAGAGTGGAAGGAGGAAAAGCAATTCATAATGAAAATGTCTACATCAATACTAGTTGGAATAAGTTAAATAAAATTGCTACTATAGGAAAAAGAAAGAAGAAAGACCCTACCTTAGAAAGCCTCTTCACATTTCAGCAATAGGCAAATAGCTCAGGTTTCGAGAAAGGGGGTGTCCGTTCTACAGAGTGTGAGTATTCATAGCAATCAAAAGCTGTACCTTTCATGGTGTCTCCTCAATTCTCTCCAGGGTCAGGGTCAGATCCTCGGAAAAGGGCAAGTCGTAAAGCCCATTTGTTTGCACAGGCCCTCAGGAACACGTGTGTGTGTGTGTGTTTGTGTGTGTGTGTGTGTGTGTATATATATATGCTTTTTTTTTTTTTTTTTTTTAAGAATACAGCCAATTCCTTCACACGCCTCAGAGGGTCTTAAAATACTCTGGTCCTTGTTAATGTAGTAAAATGAGTCCCGAAGGAGCCTCCTTTCTCTTCAAATACAACAAATAAACAAACCAAAAAGAGGATTTTAAACCTTCCCCTTGGGTTATCTGCCTGTCCTCCCACTCCACCACTAGAGCTGCCAGCCTGGAACTGGTCCCCGGCGAGGGGAGAGCAGTCGGCTCCCGCGAGGCGGACAGGGAACCCAGCGGGGCCAGCCAGGCGGGCCTCAAGTGCGCCCTGGGCGCAAAGCCAGCGCTCCTCCCGCGTGCTCTTCGCCTCCGGTCCTGGCTCCCCGGGGAGTTCCGAGCCGGGCTAGATTTCTCTCCCTACCCTCACCAGCCCTCAGAGGCTCCGCGTCCTTCCATAAGAACCCAGCCCAGGGTAGGTTACTGGGTCGCGGAGGACCTCTCTGGCCCCGGCGCGGCTCCTCTGGTCGCCTCCCTAGCCCCGGGCCCGGCCAGCTGCCGCACGCGCGGGCTCTCAGCCCACCTGAGGCTCCACATGTAGCTGTGCTTGTAAGGGAAGTAGCTGCCCGGCTCGCTGCAGCAGTACTTGAGGTCGGCGAAGCCGCAGCAGTACCGGAGCGCGGCTCCCTCGCCGCGCCGAGGGCACTGGAAGGGCTCCACGAAGCTCTGGTTGAGGCTGTAGTAGCCGGAGCACAGCTGGCTGGCCTCGCTCATCGTGGGCAGGGAGCGGGAGGGGCTCGCGAGGGCCCCGATCTGCTCTCGGATCGCACCCGTCCAGCACCGCCAGAGCCCGCGGACCCTTCTGCACCGGCTCGGCTCTCCAGATCTGGGATCTGGCTGCCTGGGCGCTCAGCCTTCGCGCGCCACCTCTGCCTTCTCTCCTCCCCTTGTCCACATGGTGTCTGGGTACCTTACTCTCCCTTCTCCCTCTCGCTGCTGAGCGGTTGCTCCTTTTATCCGCCCATCTCGGCCCGTCGTCTATCCTCCCGCTCCCGTCGCCTGCTTTCTTCCCGCTCGGCTGACTCCCCTCCACTTTCCCTCGCTTCATTAGCGGCCTGGAGACCTTAGCTGTCCCCACCTCATGCCAGAAAGAGCTTTTGCCAGAGGGAAAAAAAGGAGGCGTGGGACATGTTTTCAGTCCAGGCAGATGCTGGGAAAGTTGCGGTTTTGCTTGCCCAGGGACAGGACAGGTGGGTTCTGGGCAAACACATCCGATCTGGTGGAGCCTTAATCGCCCCGGCCATTGACCCAAGGAATAGAGGAGAGGGCCAAATAAAAGGCAGCTGAACACTAGTGAAGTGGTGTTGGTGTTCTCTTTCTTTGAGGAATAAATGTGAACATTAAGATCTGCCCACTTAAAAAAAAAAAGGAAAGAAAAAAAGAAAGAAACAAAATCTCCTCTAACAACTAGCCACGCTGCAGTTGCATTCTGTGTTCAGCTGAAAAAAAAAAAAAAATCCAGAAAGGATAAGAAACGCAAGACATGAAGGTAAGGAAAGTGAGAACTTTCTAGAGAGGAGGCAGCCAGGGCGGGCGGGGGAAGGCAGAGGAAGTACAAGCGCGGTGCCTCACGCCTGTAATCCACCAGCACTTTGAGAAACCGAGTTGGGCGTTGGAGACTAGCCTGGCCAACATAGAGAAACCGCAACTCTACTAAAAACACAAAATATTAGCCGGGTATGGTGGCGCATGCCTGTAATCCCGGCTACTCAGGAAGCTGAGGCAGGAGAGTGGCTTGAACCTGGAGGCGGAGGTTGCCATGAGCCGAGATCTGCCGTTGCACTCCAGCATGGGCGACAAGAGCAAAAGTCTGTCTCAGAAAAAAACAAAAAAGGCAGAGGAAATAGGGAGAAAGAGCCCTTGTCAGTTCCGATGTGCTGTGGAACTTCTTTTGTCTCCTTTTTGTTTGTATTTCCATTTTCTTGATTGGTTTGTTCACAAAGCCTTTTTAAAATAACAGTAATAATGTACGCTTATTGTAATAAATTATACAATGCTTGGATGTATAAAGAAAAAGAATAGCCTTACAATGGCAGAGGAGGCGATTATAACATTCATAAAATGTACAAGGTAGAGTATTGCTTCTTCCTCTTCATTTCTACTTCCTTCCCTTGACCAGGGGCTTGATTGGATCCCAGACGTCATGAATTTTACCTTGTTCGTTGCTGGATGTTTCTGCATTACTATAAATACTCTTGAGCTGTGTACTGGGACACAGTTAAGTTCCTTGCAAACAGTTTGGATCTTTCAGGTTTTTATTTTTTTAAATATTTGTTAGGCAGGACTAGAGTCGCCTTTAGGACTGAATTTTACTGACTCAATACCCTTCGAATTATTCTACCCAATACTTGTGAATTATAGGGCTTACCATTCTGACTGTTGGGAACACATTTCAACCTTGTGAGGGGCTACAAGGATTGTTGTTCCCTCTGTTCCTTTCAGATGATTCTTTTCTGTGATTCAAGTAGTTTCCTCCCAGGCATACAGTGGTCAGTACTCATGAAGATTCTGATGATCTCCAAAGTGCTCTCTCCCTCTCACTCCCTCTCTTCCACTCTCTCTTTCTCTCCAGCCCTTTCCTTCTGGTACTCTGTTCTGCTGTGCCTAGCCACTCTTTCCTGGACTTCTCAGCTCAAGTTGACCACTGAGTTCTACCTGGCCTCCACTTCCTTGTACTGCGAAGGCCTGGAAACTCTCTCCTATGGTGATCTGGGCTCCTAAGGCTCACCTCACCTGTTTCCCCTCTCTCGAAGATCACTGTCCTGCACTACCTGACATCTGTGTCCAAAACCAATTGTTTCAGATATTTTGTTGTTTTGTTGTTTCAGGCAGGCAGATCAAATTAGTTCCTATTATGCCCCTATTCCGTGGCCAGGGGATTGGACCTGATTCCAAGTAGGCCAGTTAGGGTCTGTCCCTTGGAACTGGAATTCCACCCATGTGGACAGGAAGCCACAAGAAGTTAGTGTACTCGAAATAGAAAAATGAAGCAAATGGTAGCAAAAAAAAAAAAAAAAAAAAAAAGTGGGTAGAAGAGTGCTGGTGGCTTTGCAATTCTTGATCAAGTTCTTTCCAGAGGCCCAGGGCATTCTTATAGGTTTCTTGAGACACTCCTGTTTTCCTAGAGCCCAAATCACCTTTTCTGGCCATGGTACATTCAAGCTAGATTCTACTATTTGCAGCCAAAGGGTTCTAACTCAGACAGGACATCTTCAGGCAAACATGACGGGAGGAGGCAGTTGAAAGGAAGGAACCTGAAGCTCTTTAATCAGTGTAGCAAGTTCCCTTGGAAGCGGGAGAAACAGGCAGCACTAGCAGACTTTTCTTCCTGTTACATAAGAGGAAAAGAAATTTGGAAACAGAAGAGAGGAAAGTTTTTGTGGACAATGCTGATTGTCTCAGTAAAATATTATTGAGAGCACGAGACAACACAGTGGAACTTAGATGCGTGACAAGAATGGAATAGGTAGAGTGAACACCATAGGGAACATGCCTGGGTAGAGGCGAGTGGAATAAAAGGATCTGGTACAACTTTGAGGACCTGCTTTTGGTTAGAAATCACACCTTCTGGTAGAACCTCTCCAACAATGAATGGTCGTCAGTCTGGGAACAGGAGCAGGGAGTCAACAGTGGGATTTGTCAGGATGATTCTCTGGGGCTATCACAGCAATCACAGATCACCTTAACACCCTCTGACTCCCAAATACACACAAAACACAGAAAAATCCAGAGACAGGTATGGCCACAGAGGCCAGATTTCACCAAGCTTGGAGTACCCTGAGGTCTCTGAAGTTCAAACCAACCAAGGAGCCTTTCACCACCTGAAGCCTAAGGGCAGTGTTAAAAACCAGTTTGGAAGTCACTTGACCTTGCCTGCTGTGTAGTCCCATGTTACTAAGACCCCAGTTATCTTCCTCCAGGCAGGAGGAGTTCTGATACGGAGGAGGGTGGGGCTGATCCTGCACCAAAAGATAGCGACAAATTACATCTTTTATTTCGTCTTCTTGTATCACAAAGGTGATACTCCCCTTTAGGGAATATTCTGGAAATAAGGAGACATTTTTGGTTGTCATGATGACACTGTCCTGGCATGGAGGGATATGGGTCAGGGATGCTAGGCCTCCCGACCCCTGCAACATGTACAGGAAGATGAAGAACTGTATGTGACTTTCAAATGTCCTACAGGGACATTCATGTAGATGAAATACCTACTTATAATTGTCTTTACCTAGAACCTATCCTTGTGTTACAAATAAATACAATGTATTTCTTGAATTTTCCGGGAATACAACTACCATGCAAAATGAGGGAAGATTGTTACTTGTTTTGTTTGGAACTCTACCAAGACTGGTTCACAAAAATTATGTGCCAACAGTTATGTTGCTTAAGCATTTGTATTTGTGTTGCCAACACCGCACGCTGTGTCAGCCTGCATTTGTGCCATCACTCCACAGCGATTTATAGCTATTGCATTCAGAGTACTGATGTAAGCATTATGTCTTTTGGTGCAGTTGTGCCTGAGCATTTACGTATGGAAATACTGTATATATTTCATGGTAATTTACACTCCTTTTATGTATTCTTTATGTTATAATAAAGGCATTATATATAATTAGTGTATTTGTTTGCTGAGACCACCATAATAAAGTACCACAGACCAAGTGGCCTAAACAACAGAAACGTCTTAGCTCGCAGTTCTGGAGGCTGGAAGTCTGAGATCAAGATGTCAGCAGGATTGGTTTCTTCTGAGGGTTGTAAGGAGAAGGATCTGTTCTGGGATTGTCTCCTGGACAGGCCTCGATTGCTGTCTTCTCACTATGTTGCCACTTCACCTTCTCACTGTGCTTGTCTCTGTCCAAATTTCCTCTTCTCCTAAGGACACCCTAGAACTGGAACAGGGCCCTCTCTAGTGACCTAAATTTTATTTTAATTACCTAAAGGCCCTGCCTCCAAATATGATCACATTCTGAGGCATTACAGGTTAGGACTTCAATATTTGAATTCCTAGAGGGACACAATTCAACCCATAGCAACCACGTATGTAGACACATCTTATTTCAAGATAGCAAAGGAAAATTTATAGACAGATTTCTTTTTTCTTTCTTTCTTTTTTTTTCAGGGGCATGTGCACTTTATTGAACGTGACTGTAGAAAAGTGTGTGAGGGTAAAGGACTGATACAGGATGCGCTGGGGGCAGGGCGAGGGATGGAAGCTGGAGTACCAGGGAGACAGACAGGTCACGGGCAGAGTCCCTGGCCCGGGTGATTCCTCTGGATCTACTGATAGGCTTGCAGAATCAGGATTGGGATGATGATCATCAGAATGATCATGATGATGCCCAAAATCAGGGCCCAGATGTTCAGGCACTTGGCCATGGAGGTATAGGCCTGGGCCCCGGTCAGGTCGCCAACCATCTTCCTGTCCCTAGACTTCACGGAGCAGGTGTAGGCTATGAAGCCCAGGCAGCAGGAGTTCATGAAGATGGTGTTGAACAGGGACCAGATGACGTGGTCAGGCACGGAGGTCTCGCTTCGGATGTGGATCACGGTGGATGTCGGGGGTGCAGGGTTGTGGGGCACCCCCAGCGCAGCCACCTCATGCTCCTCCTTCAGTGTCTCATAGTTCAGGGGATGGTGGGTGTTGGCGGGAGTGAAGAAGGTTTGGACAGTGTGGTTCATGGTGTCCAGGGAAGATTGGCCGTGGTGGGGTTGCTGGGATGCTTC